TCTGTCTTAACATGCTGTGCTTTTCATTTTAGTTTGTTAAGTTATAATTCGTATGTATATGTTGGGTTGTATACATTTTGTTAGTATGGATATATTGTTGTTGTTTACAGGCATTGAATGTTTGCCTTTTATGCTTGGAATCTGCCCTGAGTCCCTTTGGGGAGATAGAGCGGAATATAAATAAAGTATTATTATTATTATTGGGTTGTTGTAGGTTTTCCAGGCTATATGGCCATGTTCTAGAGGCATTTTCTCCTGACGTTTCGCCTGCATCTATGGCAAGCATCCTCAGAGGTAGTGAGGTCTGTTGGAAGTAGGAAAATGGGTTTATATATTTGTGGAAAGACCAGGGTGGGACAAAGGACTTTTGTCTGCTGGAGCTAGGTGTGAATGTTTCAGCTGACCACCTTGATTAGCATTTAATGGTTTGAAAGTGCCTGGGGGAATCTTTCTTTGAGAGGTGATTTGATGTGCCTGATTGTTTACTCTCTGTTGTTTCGCTGTTGTAATTGCAGAGTTTTTTTAATACTGGTAGCCAGATTTTGTTCATTTTCATGGTTTCCTCCTTTCTGTTGAAATTGTCCACATGCTTGTGGATTTCAATGGCTTCTTTGTGTAGCCTGACATGGTGGTTGTTGGAGTGGACCAACATTTCTGTCTTCTCAAATAATATGCTGTGTCCAGGTTGGTTCATCAGGTGTTCTGCTATGGCTGACTTCTCTGGCTGAAGTAGTCTGCAGTGCCTTTCATGTTCCTTGATTTGCGTGTGGGCAGTGCTGCTGCGTTTGGTGGTCCCTATGGAGACATGTCCACATAGTGTGCATGGTATACGGTAGACTCCTGCAGAGGTGAGAGGATCCCTCTTGTCCTTTGCTGAACGTAGCAGTTGTTGGATTTTCTTGGTGGGTGTGTAGATAGTTTGTATGTTGTGTTTCCTCATGTGCTTCCCTCTGCGGTCAGTGGTTCCCTTGATGTATGGCAGTGTTTCTCAACCTTCCTAATGTCGTGACCCCTTAATCCAGTTCCTCCTGTTGTGGTGACCCCCAACCATACAATTAATTTTGTAGCTACTTCATAACTCTAATTTTGCTACCGTTATCAATCGTAAAGTAAATATCTGATATGTAGGATGCATTTTCATTCACTGGACCAAATTTACCCGATATGCCCAAATTAGAATACCGGTGGGGTTGGGGGGGGGGGGGGATTGATTTTATCATTTGGGAGTTGTAGTTGCTGGGATTTATAGTTCACCTACAATCAAAGAACTCCGCCAACTATGGAATTGGACCAAACTTGGCACACAGAACTCCCATGACCATCAGAAAATACTGGAAGGGTTTGGTGGGGACTGACCTTGAGTTTTGGAGTTGTAGTTCACCGACATCCAGAGAGGACTGTGGGCTCAAACAATGATGGCTCTGGACCAAACTTGGCATGAATATTCAATATGCCCAAATGTGTACACTGGTGGAGTTTGGGGAAAACAGACCTTGACATTTAGGAGTTGTAATTGCTGGGATTTATAGTTCATTACAATCAAAGAATATTCTGAACTCAACCAACGATAGAATTGGCTCAAACATCCCACATGGAATCCCCATGACCATCAGAAAATACTGTGTTTTCTTATGGTATTTGGCGACCCCTCTGACACCCTCTTGCGACCCCTCCAGGGGTCCCGACCCCCAGGTTGAGAAACACTGATGTCTGGCAAGAACACTTTTCCTCTGGATGGATCTTCGTCTTGACTCTCGTGGCTTCTTCTCAAATATTATTCTATGTCCAAGTTGGTTCATCAGGTGCTCTGCTATGGTTGACTTCTCTGGTTAAACGTCTGAAGTGCATTTCATGTGCTTTTGCTCTGCCTCTCCAAGTGGATCTCTTGACAAACCTCGCCATTAGGGAAGGAGAAGAAAGAAAGTTCATTTGTAAGGAAAGAAGGGCTGCATTCCCCTTTTGAGTTTTTGGAGTGGAAGGAGGAACCACTGACCGCATTGGGAAGCTGATGACGAAACACAACATACAAACAATCTACAAACCCACCAAGAAAATCCAACAAATGCTCCGTTCAGCAAAAGGACAAGAGGGATCCTCTCACCTCTGCAGGAGTCTACCGTATACCATGCAGCTGTGGACAAGTCTACAGAGGGACCACCAAACGCAGCAGCATTGCCCTAACACGAATCAAGGAACAGGAAAGGCACTGCAGACTACTTCAACCAGAGAAGTCAGCCATAGCAGAGCACCTGATGAACCAGCCTGGACACAGCATATTATTTAAGAACACAGAAATGCTGGACCACACCAACAACCACCATGTCAGACTACACAGAGAAGCCTGGGAAAATGATCCCTCTTGTCCTTTGCTGAACGTAGCATTTGTTGGATTTTCTTGGTGGGTTTGTAGATTGTTTGTATGTTGTGTTTCCTCATCAGCTTCCCTCTGCGGTCAGTGGTTCCCTTGATGTATGGCAGGAACACTTTTCCTCTGGGTGGATCTTCATCTTTACTCTCGTGGCTTGTTCTTGGTCTTGCAGCTCTTCTGATGTCTGAGGTGGAGTCTCCCTTGGCCTGGAGAGCCCAGTTGAGGTGGTTCAGTTCATCTTGGAGGAGGTGGGCTTCCCAGATTCTTTTTGCACGGTCTGCCAAGGCTTTAATGGTGCTTCTTTTTTGACTTGGGTGATGGTTGGAGTTTTGATGTAGATATCTATCTGTGTGTGTGGGTTTTCTGTAGACGGTGTGACCCAATTGTTGATCTGGTTTGCGGATGACTAGGACATCTAGAAAAGGCAGTCTTCCTTCATTTTCTTTTTCCATGGTGAACTGGATGTTTGGGTGGATGCTGTTAAGATGGTCCAGGAACCTGTTGAGTTCTTCTTCTCCATGGCTCCAAATGGTGAAGGTGTCATCCACATATCTGAACCATATCGTGGGCTTTTTTGTTGCTGTCTCCAGGGCTTGTTTTTCAAAGTGTTCCATGTAGAAATTAGCTATGACCGGGCTGAGAGGGCTCCCCATAGCTACTCCATCTTTCTGTTCGTAGAATTCATTGTCCCACTGAAAGTAACTGGTGGTGAGGCAATGGTGAAACAGAGCCGTGATGTCTTCTGGGAACCTCTGGTTGATGAGTGCCATGGTGTCTGCTACCGGGACCATGGTAAATAGAGATACCACATCGAAGCTGATCAGTTTGTCGTTGGTATTTAGCTTGAGATTGCTGATTTTTTTCTATGAAGTGGGCTGAGTCCTTGATGTAGTGTGTAGTGAGCCCAATATGGCTTTGTAACTGTGCAGCAAGAAATTTTGCTAAGTCGTATGTGGGGGATCCAATGGCACTCACGATGGGTCTGAGTGGGGTGGAGTCCTTATGGATTTTTGGGAGTCCATAAAGCCTGGGTGGATGGGCTTCCGATTTAGCAGAGCACCTGATGAACCAGCCTGGACACAGCATTTTATTTGAGTACACAGAAATGCTGGACCACTCTCACAACCACCATGTCAGACTACACAGAGAAGCCATTGAAATCCACAAGCATGTGGACAATTTCAACAGAAAGGAGGAGACCATGAAAATGAACAAAATCTGGCTACCAATATTAAAAAACTCTAAAATTACAACAACAAAACAGCAGAGAGGAAACAACTAGGCACATCTTAACACCTCTCAACAGAACATTTTCCCAGGCTCAGCCAGGCCTTCAAATGCTAATGAAGGTGTTCAGCTGAAACATTCACACCTAGCTTCAGCAGACAAGAGTCCTTTGTCCCACCCTGGTCATTCCACAGATATATAAACCCATTTTCCTATTTCCAACAGACCTCACTGCCTCTGAGGAGGCTTGCCATAGATGCAGGCGAAACGTCAAGAGAAATGCCTCTAGAACAGTGGTTCTCAACCTTCCTAATGCCGCGATCCCTTAGTACAGTTCCTCATGTTGTGGCGACCCCCAGCCATAAAATTATTTTCGTTGTTACTTCATAACTGTAATTTTGCTACTGTTATTAATTGTAATGTAAATATCAGATATCCAGGATGTATTTTCATTCACTGGACCGAATTTGGCACAAATACCCAATACGCCCAAATTGGAATACTGGTGGGGTTTGGGGAGGGTTGATTTTGTCATTTTGGAGTTGTCGTTGCTGGGATTTATAGTTCACCTTCAATCAAAGAACATTCTGAACTCCACCAATGATGGAACTGAACTGTACTTGGTGCACAGAACTCCCATGACCAACAGAAATTACTGAAAGGGCTTGTTGGGCCCTTATGTTGACCTTATGTTTGGGAGTTGTAGTTCACCTACATCCAGAGAGCACTGTAGACTAAAACAATGATGGATCTGGACCAAACTTGGCATGAATATTCAATATGCCCAAATGTGTACACTGGTGGAGTTTGGGGAAAACAGACCTTGATATTTGGGAGTTGTAGTTGCTGGGCTTTATAGTTCATTACAATCAAAGTGTAATGTTTAAAACTGTTTAAAATCTTAAAAGAGCATTCTGAACCCTACCAACGATTGAATTGGGCCAAACTTCCCACACAGAACCCCCATGACAACCAGAAAATACTGTGTTTTCTTGTGGTCTTTGGTGACCCTTCTGACACTCCCTCGCGACCCCCTCAGGGGTCCTGACCCCCAGGTTGAGAAACACTGACCTAGAGCTTTGGAGAGCTTCTCTGCTCTGGCTGACTTCTCTGGTTGAATGTCTGAAGTGCCTTTCCTGTGTTTTCGCTCTGCCTCTCCAAGTGGATCTCTTGCCAAACCTCGCCATTAGGGAAGGAGAAGAAAGGAAGTTCATTTGTAAGGAAAGAAGGGCTGCATTCCCCCTTTGAGTTTCTGGAGTGGAAGGAGGAACACTTTATTCCACAAAGCCCACCCAGAGGGGTGTGGCCAAAGCCTAGGGGCGTGGCGAGGACCCCCAAGGGGCGGTGCCCCACCCACCTCTCCATAAAAGCCTTGGCGCGCGCCTCTCCATTCATAAATCCGGTGCGCCTTTTGGACACAGTCGGGGGGTGCCTTCCTCTTCTTCTCCTTTGCCGTCCAGTTTCTTCTCAAGGAAGGGTGGGACATCCAGCAACAGGAGCAAAGGCACCAGCAGCCCCTCCTCTCCTTGGCTTCCTTTGCCTGCTCTTCTTTCCTGAGCGTTGTTTTGATCCTCTGCCTCCTTTTGCGCGTGGACTCCGTGCGCCTTGTTGGCACCGATTTGGGGACCTCATGGCTCTCTTCGTGGCCGGCTTCCTCGCCCTCTTCTGCGCCCGTTTGGTGAGTCCAGGCTCGGGGGGGGGGAATGGGGGTGCTTTTCCCAAGGAGGGTGCCCACTTGGATCCCCCAAAGATTGCCCCCCAAAAGCTTGATGCGCCCAAGGATTTGGGGAGCAAGGTGGCTTGGCTTAATCTATCTTTTTTCCAGCTCTGCTTGGAAGTATTGTCGAAGGCTTTCATGGCTGGAATCACTAGGTTCTTGTGGGGTTTTTTCGGGCTGTATGGCCATGTTCTGGAGGCATTTTCTCCTGACGTTTCGCCTGCATCTATGGCAAGCATCCTCAGAGGTAGTGAGGTCTGTTGGAATTAGGACAATGGGTTTATACATCTGTGGAATGGCTGGGGTGGGGCAAAGGGCAAAGAGCTCTTGTCTGCTGGAGCTAGGTGTGAATGTTTCAACTGACCACCTTGATTAGCATACAATGGGCTGACTGTGCCTGGAGCAAACTTTTGTTGAGAGGTAATTAGATGTCCCTGCCTGCTTCCTCTCTGTTGTTGTGCTGTTGCAATTTTAGAGTTTTTTTAATACTGGTAGCCAGATTTTGTTCATTTTCATGGTTTCCTCCTTTCTGTTGAAATTGTCCACATGTTTGTGTATTTCAGTGGCTTCTCTGTGTAGTCTGACATGGTGGTTGTGAGAGTGGTCCAGCATTTCTGTGTTCTCAAATAATATGCTGTGTCCAGGTTGGTTCATCAGGTGCTCTGCTATGGCTGACTTCTCTGTTTGAAGTAGTCTGCAGTGCCTTTCATGTTCCTTGATTCGTGTTTGGGCAATGCTGCGTTTGGTGGTCCCTATGTAGACTTGTCCACAGCTGCATGGTACACAGTAGACTCCTGCAGAGGTGAGAGGATCCCTCTTGTCCTTTGCTGAACGTAGCATTTGTTGGATTTTCTTGGTGGGTCTGTAGATTGTTTGTATGTTGTGTTTCCTCATCAGCTTCCCTATGCGGTCAGTGGTTCCCTTGATGTATGGCAGGAACACTTTTCCTCTGGGTGGATCTTCATCTTGACTCTCGTGGCTTGTTCTTGGTCTTGCAGCTCTTCTGATGTCTGAGGTGGAGTCTCCATTGGCCTGGAGAGCCCGGTTTAGGTGATTCAGTTCATCTTGGAGGAGGTGGGCTTCGCAGATTCTGATTGCAAGCTTTAGATATTGGGGAATCTGTTGACATTTCTCATGCCCTTCCTTGCAAAGACTGACCCAAGAAAGCAGATTGGGTTGGCTAACATATGTGTATTTATGGTGAGTGTAAGGCCACAGGGAAGGCATGGACCAGTTTGGACCCTCCCAAGTGTTTTGGACTTCAACTCCCACCATTCCTAACAGCCTCAGGCCCTTTCCTTTTCCCCCTCAGCCGCTTAAGCGGCTGAGGGGGAAAAGGAAGGGGCCTGAGGCTGTTAGGAATGGTGGGAGTTGAAGTCCAAAACACCTGGAAGATCCAAATTAGCCCATGCCTGAATATGTACATTTAAGTTGCCTGGTTCACTTCTGAATTCCAGCATTTCTTAGCTTCAGAGTTGGGTTTTGCCAGTTCCTTCCTCCAAAAAGAAAGCCTGGGATTCCATCCGATTCCCAACCAAGGCTGACCCTCCTTCTTCACTCCCAAGATCAGACCAGGACTCTGCTTTTTTCTGACTTCTCATTTCTTTGGAGATCCCGGTGACACCGGTGACGCCAAACTCCACCAGTGTTCACATTTGCGCATATTGAGAATTCGTGTAGAGTTCGGTCCAGATCCATCATTGTTTGTGTCCACAGTGTTCTCTGGATGTAGGTGAACTACAACTCCCAAACTCAACATCAATGCCCACTAAACCCTTCTAGTGTTTTCTGTTGGTCGTGGGAGTCCTGTGTGCCAAGTTTGATTCAATTCCATCATTGGTTGAGTTCAGAATGCTCTTTGGTTGGAGGTGAACTATAAATCCCTGTGCCGGCAGGACTGAATATCACAGAACATAATGAAACCCCTGTGCCGGCAGGACTGAAGGCCGACAGGTCGCAGGTTTGAATCCGGGGAGAGGCGGATGAGCTCCTTCTATCAGCTCCAGCTCCTCATGCGGGGACATGAGAAAAGCCTCCCACAAGGATGATAAAAACATCAAATCATCCGTGCAGCGTCCCCTGGGCAACGTCCTTGCAGACGGCCAATTCTCTCACACCAGAAGCAACTTGCAGTTTCTCAAGTTGCTCCTGACACGACAAAAAAGATATTATTGGGTTGCTGTGAGTTTTTTGGGCTGTCTGGCCATGTTCCAGAAGCATTATCTCCTGATGTTTTGCCCACAGATGGCCAATTCTCTCATACCAGAAGCGACTTGCAGTTTCTCAAGTCGCTCCTGACACGACAAAAAAAATAATAATATTATTATTGGGTTGCTGTGAGTTTTTTGGGCTGTCTGGCCATGTTCCAGAAGCATTATTTCCTGATGTTTTGCCCACAGACGGCCAATTCTCTCATACCAGAAGCAACTTGCAGTTTCTCAAGTCGCTCCTGATACGACAAAAAAAAATTATTTGGTCATTTTTCTCGGATGCATAAACAGGACGTCCTAAATTCTTGATCAGTATGTAAAGTTCCACACCTATCATGAATCATAGAATCATAGAATCAAAGAGTTGGAAGAGACCTCCTGGGCCATCCAGTCCAACCCCATTCTGCCAAGAAGCAGGAATATTGCCTTCAAATCACCCCTGACAGATGGCCATCCAGCCCCTGTTTAAAAGCTTCCAAAGAAGGAGCCTCCACCACACTCTGGGGCAGAGAGTTCCACTGCTGAACGGCTCTCACAGTCAGGAAGTTCTTCCTCGTGTTCAGATGGAATCTCCTCTCTTGTAGTTTGAAGCCATTGAATTTAGGATGTTCCATGTATGCATCCCAGCTCAGCCGCATAAACCCACTGGTTGGCTCAGAGCAATAATAATAATAATAATAATAATAATAATCTCTCTCTCTCTATATATATATATATATAATATTTATTTATATTTATACACCACACCTACCTCTAAAAACCTTACACTCCACCTGTCACGTCCAGCACTTTAAAAATTTTATTCATTACATTTGGCCCGGCCTAGTTTTAAATGCGTCATGGTGTTATTGTGTTTATGTTTATTGTTATTTCTTTAATGTTTATTGTTTTGCTTTATGAGTTTATTGTTGTATTTGTTATGCTGTTGTTTTATTGTGAGCCTTGGCCTTTGTAAGCCGCACCGAGTCCTTCGGGAGATGTTAGCGGGGTATAAATAAAGTTAATAATAATAATAATAGTAATAGTAATAATTTATATTCTGCTCTGTCTCCCCAAAGGGACTCAGGGCGGATTCCAAACATAAAAGGCAAGCATTCAATGCCTGAATACAACAACAATACACCCATACTAACAAAGTTTATACAACCCGACATATAAATATGAATTATAACTTAACAAATTAAAATTAAATAAAAAGCACATCCTGTTATGACAGACGTAAGACAAAACATCAAATGGAAACATTAATTTCCCATTTCTGCTCTCGGTCCCGCCACCCTCACAATCGCGTCTGGTGGGGACGAGAGACAGGGCCTTCGCAGTGGTGGCCCCTCGGCTGTGGAACTCTCTCCCGATGGAGATCAGATCTGCCCCTTCCCTCCTAACCTTCAGAAAGCTAGTAAAATCCTGGCTCTGGGACAAAGCATTCCCAGAATAGGTTCTTGTGGGTTTTTTCGGGCTATAGGGCCATGCTCTAGAGGCATTTCTCCTGACGTTTCGCCTGCATCTATGGCAAGCATCCTCAGAGGTCGTGAGGTCTGTTGGAATTAGGACAATGGGTTTATATATCTGTGGAATGGTTGGGGTGGGGCAAAGAGCTCTTCCCTGCTGGAGCTAGATGTGAATGTTTCAACTGACCACCTTCATTAGCATTTGAAGGCCTGCCTGAGCTTGGGAAAACCTTTTGTTGAGAGGTGTTAAGATGTGCCTGGTTGTTTCCTCTCTGCTGTTTTGCTGTTGTAATTTTAGAGTTTTTTAATACTGGTAGCCAGATTTTGTTCATTTTCATGGTCTCTTCCTTTCTGTTGAAATTGTCCACATGCTTGTGGATTTCAGTGGCTTCTCTGTGTAGTCTGACATGGTGGTTGTGAGAGTGGTCCAGCATTTCTGTGTTCTTAAGTAATATGCTGTGTCCAGGCTGGTTCATCAGGTGCTCTGCTATGGCTGACTTCTCTGGTTGGAGTAGTCTGCAGTGCCTTTCATGTTCCTTGATGCGTGTCTGGGCAATGCTGTTGCCTTTGGTGGTCCCTATGTAGACTTGTCCACAACTGCATGGTACACGGTAGACTCCTGCAGAGGTGAGAGGATCCCTATTGTCCTTTGCTGAACATAGCATTTGTTAGATTTTCTTGGTGGGTCTGTAGATAGTTTGTATGTTGTGTATGACCATGAAAATGAACAAAATCTGGCTAAAGGTAAAGGTAGGTAAAGGTAGTCCCCTGACATTAAGTCCAGTCATGTCTGACTCTGGGGTGTGGTGCTCATTTCCATTTCTAAGCCGAAGAGCCAGCGTTGTCCGTAGACACCTCCAAGGTCATGTGGCCGGCATGACTGCATGGAGTGCCGTTACCTTCCCGCTGGAGCGGTACCTATTGATCTACTCACATTTGCATGTTTTCGAACTGCTAGGTTGGCAGAAGCTAGGGCTGACAGCGGAAGCTCACGCCGCTCCCCGGAATTGAACCTGCGACTTTTCGATCAACAAGCTCAGCAGCTCAGTGCTTTAACCCACTGCGCCCCCGGGGGCTCCCAATAAAATTACAACAGCAAAACAGCAAAGAGGAAACAACCAGGCACATCTTAACACCTCTCAACAAGAGATTTTCCCAGGCTCAGCCAGGCCTTCAAATGCTAATGAAGGTGGTCAGTTGAAACATTCACACCTAGCTCTAGCAAGGAAGAGCTCTTTGCCCCACCCCAGCCATTCCACAGATATATAAACCCATTGTCCTAATTCCAACAGACCTCACT